TCCCATGATCCCAAATCCCAGGAAATCCAAGTTAATGGATTGGGAATCCTGGAATGGTTTAGGGAAGGGATTTCAGGGACTGATCCTATCCCGATCCCAACATTTCCCAAGATCCTAAATCCGGGGAAATTGGAATAAATGGATTTGGGATCCTGGAATGATTTGGAGCAGGGATTTCAGGGATGATCCCATCCCAATTCCATCCCAATCCCAACATTTCCCACTATCCCAAATCCCAGGAATTTGGGAATCCTGGAATGTTTTGGAGCAGGGATTTCAGGGATGATCCCAATCCAATCCCATTCCAATCCCAACATTTCCCATGATCCCAAATCCCAGAAAATCGGAGCCAACGGATTAGGAATGCTGCAATGTTTGGGGAAGGGATTTTAGGGATGATCCCATCCCGATCCCAACATTTCCCAAGATCCCAAAACCAGGGAAATTGGGATAAAAGCACTGGGGAATCCTGGAATGGTTTAGGGAAAGGATTTTAGGGACGATCCTGTTCCAATTCCAACATTTCCCAAGATCCCAAATCCCAGAAAATCGGAGCCAAGGGATTGGGATTTCTGGAATGGTTTGAGGAAGGGATTTTAGGGATGATCCCAAACCCGATCCCAACATTTCCCAAGATCCCAAATCCTGGAAAATGGGATAAAAGGATTGGGGAATCCTGGAATGGTTGGGAGCAGGGATTTCAGGGATGATCCCATCCCAATCCCATTCCAATCCCAACATTTCTCATGATCCCAAATCCCGGAAAATCGGAGCCAAGGGATTGGGAATGCTGGAATGGTTTGGGGGGAGGGATTTTAGGGGTGATTGCATCCCAATCCCAACATTTCCCATGATCCTAAATCCTGGGAAATTGGGATAAATGGATTTGAGATCCTGGAATGATTTGGAGCAGGGATTTCAGGGATGATCCCATCCCAATCCCATCCCAATCCCATTTCCCACCATCCCAGGGCGCTTTTCCCCGGACACTTCCCCCGTTCCCCATTCCCAGCCCCACGGGAGGCCGGAATTCCACACCTTTCCCAAGGAATTCCGGGAATTCACCTGGTTGGAGGACATGTTCTCCGCTTTCATCAGCGACGAGTAGCTCCTGCAAGGAGAATTCCAGATTATCCCACATTTCTAACAGAATTTGGATTAAAAAAAAGAAGCATCAGCCCTCGCTTCCCTCCCTGATTAAACCCAGAGCTGCTTTTCCCGTGGTTTTTTTTTGGGATTCCCCATCTGGAAAATCCCAAATTTGGGAGCTCAGCTCCGCTCCCCCAATTTTCCGAGCTTGGATCCCTGGGAAAATCCCAAATTTCTTTAAAATCCTGGGGTTTGTGGCATTTAGGGATAAGAAAAGCTMTGGRAAGCTCCYGAGGGAATTTTGGGAACCACAAATMATTCCWGGGAYAATTCCAGGGRCMATTCCAGGCTCTGCTCCCCCAATCCCTCAGAATTCCCAACTTTTCCTTGGACAATTCCTGGCCTGGAGCTGCCCTCAGAACTCTGGTGGCTCCTCCCTTGGGATAAAGACACCGGGAATTCCCATTCCCAGCTTCTTTCCCCTTGGGATAGGAGAACCAGGAATTCCCATTCCCCATTCCCATTCCCATTCCCCATTCCATTCCCATTCCCCATTCCCATTCCCATTCCCCATTCCCATTCCCAGCTGCTCTTCCCTCTGGATGAGGACACAGCGAATTCCCATTCCCATTCCCTATCCCAGCTCCAGCTGTTCCTTCCCTCGGGATAAAAGCACCGGGAATTCCTATTCCATTCCCCATTCATTTCCCGTTCTCATTTCCTATTCCCGCTCTCATTCCCCATTCCCATTCCCATTCCCATTCCCATTCCCATTCCCGTTCCCCATTCCCATTCCAATCCCATTCCCATCTGCTCCTCCCACTCCAATTCCCACTCCACCAATGGCAACAACGCCCCGGATCCGGGATTATCCCGGAAAACCCCGCGAATCCCCGGAGCACGGTGACACCGGGAGCGCTGAGCTGGTGAACCCCAAAATTCCCACAATCCCATGATTCCCACAATCGCCACAATTCCCAGAACCCCACAATCCCCACAATTCCCAGAACCCTCACAATTCCCAGAATCCCACAATCCTGAAATTCCCATAATCCCCAGAATCCCGCAATTCCCAGAACCCCCAGAATCCTGCAATTCCCAGAACCCCACAATCCCGCAATCCCCAGAATTGTGGGAATTTCACAATCCCTAAAATCCCGCAATTTCCAGAATTCCCGTAATTCCCACGATCCCACAATTCCCAGAACCCCCGCCATTCCCAGAACCCCCAGAATCCTGCAGATCCCACAATCCCACGATTCCCAAAATCCCCTCAATTCCCACAATCCCTGCAATTCTCAGAATCCCACAATTCCCACAATCCTAAAATTCCCAGAACCTCTGCAATTCCCACAATCTCTGCAATTCCCACAACCCCAGAATCCTGCAATCCCCTGAATCCTACAATTCCCACAATCCCCCATCCCCACAATCCTGCAATTCCCACAATTATCAGAATTCCACAATCCCCACAATCCCGCCATTCCCCCAATCCCCCAATTCCCACAATCCCGCAATTCCCAGAACCTCCGCAATTCCCACAGTCCCCACAATCCGCAGCACCCCACAATTCCCACAATCCCGCCATTCCCACAATCCTGCCATTCCCACAATCCCAATCCCCACAATCCCCCAATCCCCAGAATCACATGATTCCCAGGACCCTGCAATTCCCAGAATCCCGCAATTCCCAGAACCAGCGCAATTCCCACAATCCTGCAATTCCCACAATCCCCTCAATCCCAAGAACCCTCACAATTCCCAGAACCCCCAGAATCCTGCAATTCCCATAATCCCACGATTCCCAAAATCCCCTCAATTCCCACAATCCCACAATTCCCCCAATGCCGCCATTCCCAGAACCCCACAATTCCCACAATCCTGCAATTCCCCCAATCCCACAATTTCCCACAATCCTGCAATTCCCACAATCCCCAGAACCCCAGAATCCCACAATCCCACCATTCCCCCAATCCCGCATTTTCCTCCAGTCCCCTCAATCCCACAATCCCCACCATTCCCCCAATCCCCGCAATTCCCACATCCCCGCCGTTCCCACCGGAGCTCCTCCATCTCCTTCTTCCTCTTGAGCTCCTCCTTCTCTCTCCGGCGGAGCTCCTGCAGCTGCGCCCTCCGCAGGCTCCGCTCCTCGCGGTCCCGCGCCTCCCGCTCCGCCGCCAGGTCCGGGAACCTCTCCACGCGCGTCTTCTCCAGCCGGTGCAGGATCTCCGACACCTTCTTCTCCACCGTCAGCATCTTCACCTGC